GAGGGTGGGTAGGAGAGGAGAGAGGAGGGAGGGACGGAGGAGAGAAGGGAATGTCATTGTGTTCTTAGAATTATATCTACAAGTCACATAGAAACTCTTAAAAACTAACTGAAATAAAATTTTATCAAAAGGAAAAAAAGAAATAAAAGTTACAAAGATTGGAAACAAAGAACTATATCTAGGAACTACATTAAATCTGTTATAAATAAAAAAAAGTGTTTGCTGTGGAAGATTGTGGTGACCCTTGTGCAAAGCTGTGGTTCCAGAAGCCTCTTGTGATAGTTCCTGCTATCAGGCATAAGCGTGACGTCCCCTCCTGCATAATCTCCCAGCTGTGTTTGGCCCCGTATATGTATGTAAGGACCTGACAAAAGTAGCTCCATTTTCATTCCGACAACTTTCAAACTTTGAAGTGAGAAAAGTCAGTGGTTGAAAATCCCGCTCTCAAAAGATGTTTCCCATCTGTTGCTTCTTCAACCCTCCAAACAATGCTCCCACCTCCCACCTCCCGCCTCGGTGTTCTGGGACCTGGGGGGAAGTGCTGGGGCAGGCACAGGCCCCAGACTTGTTGGCTTGAGCTACGCAGGTCCCACAGTCAGTCTCAGCACATCTGCAAAAGCCCCACTGATGTGGAACAAGACTGGGACAACAGGAGGAGACAGGAGCTAAAGGGCCTCTTACAGCCACCCCGGCCTTCCTGCCCTTAAGTCAACTCCATCTCCAACCCACGGCACAGTGCTCCCCTCCCACTCAGGCTCAGAACCCAATTGTTGGGGATCTCCCAGAGACCTCACTGCTTGGTCATCACTGACAACCACCTCCAATGAGAAGCCAGAGACCTCTGTGACCAGAAATTATTTTTCTTTGCTCTGTCTAGCATTTTTGTTAGTTTTTCTTGGAGTTCCATAAATGCTCGCTAGCCAGAGATGTCAGTGAGGTCCAAGACATTCCAAGTGGCTACAATGCCATGAGCCAAATAATCAGGATGGGGTTGGCTAGGAGACCCAAATTCACAGGTACATTGTATTTTTAAAAAAAAGAATCGCTAGTAAGCTAATGTTTGGTGTCGCAGTTAAAATACCTGCATCTCATATCAGGGTCCCTGGGTTTGATTTCCTGCTCTGGCCCTTGACCCCAGCTTCCGGACAATGCAGACCCTAAAAGACAGCAGTGATGGCTCAAGTAATAGAGCTCCTGCCACCCACATGGGAGACCAGAATTATGTTCCCAGCTCCCAGCTTTGGCCCTAGCCATTGAAAGGCATTTGCGGAGGGGCTGGCACTGTGGCGCTGCAGGTTAAAGCCCTGGCCTGAAGCACCAGCATCCCATATGGGTGCCGGTTCTAGTTCCGGCTGCTCCTCTTCCGATCCAGCTCTCTGCTATGGCCTGGGAAAGCAGTAGAAGATGGCCCAAGTCCTTGGGCCCCTGCACCTACGTGGGAGACCTGGAGGAAGCTCCTGGCTCCTGGCTTCAGATCAGAGCAGCTCTAGCCGTTGCGGCCATTTAGGGAGTGAAACAGTGGATGGAAGACCTCTCTCTCTTTCTGCTTCTCCTTCTCTGAGTAACTCTGACTTTCAAATAAATAAATAAATCTTTTAAAAAAAAGGCAGTTGGGAAGTAAACCAGCATATGGGCGCTCATTCATTTGCTCGCTCTCCCTGTCTTCTCTCTCTCTCTCTCTTTTTTTTTTTTTTTTTTTTTGGCCTCTTAAATAAATAAATAATTTTTTAAAAAGTAAAAAGAACTACCCAACTTCATCGAGATTAATCACTGGAAAAGATTTAATACAGATACTTACCAATCTCTAAACTCTACATTTAAGTAGACAACCTAGAGAAAACTTAATATGAATACCTGGGAACAGACACATTTTTGTTACTTTTTCAACTCTTATCTAGCATTACTGAATCCAACCTTGCTTTACCCATATTACAAAATTACTTCCTCCCTTGTGCAATGACTTCTCAATTGTCAGTCTTGCTAACTTTAGAGTGCTGGAGCTAATAGACAGGCAGGTCCCTGGAGAAGGACGGAAGTGAAGTAGACCCTGTGGATTAATAAGTCGGAACAAATTTTTGAACCAAGGAAATTTTTGCTTTACGTGTTTAAAGGGAAGATAATCACTTAACTGATCAAATTCATAGATGCTGTAAAGAAACTTACCTTCCCTAAATGTATTTGTTCACCTCACGCATGAAATCTCCCTGTTACATTCCCTCATCTCAGAGCACTCACTCCAGTCAAAATGCAAGCATCTGTGAGATTTTTCACTTGCACCAGTTTTAGGGAAGATTTACAGATTCTCTCCTCAGAGTCAGTTTTCGTAGCTTAGATAGGGAGAGTAGGTGAGTACAGTAGCATCCAAGGGGACCGGGAAATGAACGCAAACCTTGGAAACCTCACAGTTCCCGCGCCAGCAGTCACTGCATCCACATAGCCTGGTTCCCAGCCAGCCACTCGGCGCCTTTATCAACAGAAGGGCACACACTCAATGAGCAAGGCCAGCAGTGTGAGGGAAGGGGAAAGCTGACAGCCGCACGTGACCTCCTTCCACCTGCCCACTCTGGACCCCGACTGCCCAGGAACAAGCCGGAAGTCCACGGCCTCTCCCCCATCTCTTGTCTTAGTTTATCAGGCCCTGGCATGACGAAAGCCAACCTATTTACATGAAATGCACAAACCCGCATTTCCATGCTCAACTGGTTTTCAGCAAAGGCGTCAACAAAATTCAAGAAAGGATTTTTTTTCCCAGTAAGAAAGGTTGTAAGTAGCTATGTGCCAAGGCAAAAGAAGCTTAACTCCCCTTGCTACCCTCACCCAACACACACACACACTGTATGTATCATACAGAAAGAAATTTGACATGGATCATGCCCGCACGCGTAAAAGCGAAATCCATAAAGCATCAAAGAGAAAATACAAGGAGATATGTTCCTGGAAACTTAGGGCAGGCAATTATGTTTTTAAAAATACATCAGGCAATAACCATGAAAGGAGAAAACGGACTTCATTGAATTTAAAAACTTCTGCTCATCAAAAAACACCCATTACAAAAGCAAAATGACAAGCTAAACACTAAGGGGAAGGAGAAAAAAAGAATTCTTCTAAAATGGAAAGAAAAATAGGGATGGGGAATTATTTGAACAGGCATTTCACAAAAAGAAACATCCAAATAGTCAATACACACGTCAAAGGTGCTAAAAATTATTATTCATCAGGTAAATGCAAATGAAAACCACAGTAAGATACTTTATATCCCCACAAGAATGGCAACATTAGAAAGACTGACAAAACCAAGTCCTGGAGAAGATGGAGCCACTAAAATTCCCATGAATTATAGGTTGAGTCTAATTTTTTAAAAGATTTTATTTATTTATTTGAGAGGTAGAGTTACATAGAGAGAGGAGAGACAGAGAGAAAGGTCTTCCATTCCCTGGTTCACTTCCCAAATGGCCACAACGGCTGGAACTGAGCGGATCCATAGCCAGGAGCCAGGAGCTTCTTCCAGGTCTCCCACGCAGGTGCAGGGGCCCAAGCACTTGGGCCATCTTCTACTGCTTTCCCAGGTCATAGCAGAGAGCTGGATCAGAAGTGGAGCAGCCGGAACACAAACCGGTGCCCCTAGAGGATGCCGGCACTGCAGGCAGAGGATTAACCTACTGTACCATAGCGCCAGCCCCGGAATCTAATTTACTGTTTAGTTTTGCTTTATTTGAAGACAGAGACAAAGAGAGAAAGATCCATTAATTCACTTCCCAAATGCTCCCAACAGCTGGGACTGGTCCAGGCCAAACCTAGGAGTTGGGTCTCCATCCAGGTCTCCCACGTGGGTGGCAGGGACCCAAGTACTTGGGCCATCAGCTGCTGCCTCCCAGAGTGCGCATTAGCTGGGAACTGGAATGGGAAGTGAACCCAGGAGTCTAGCCCAGGCACTCCCAATGTGGGATGCAGGTGTCCCAAGCAGCATCTTAACTGCTCTGTGTTGGTGGCATTTAAAATGGCTCAACCCTATTGGAAATTGTTTGGCAATGTCTAACAATGTTAAACACACACCTTCCCTAAGTCCCAGAATTTCTATCCCCAGATATATGGCCAAGAGCAACGACTTCACAGTGGTTTTATTCAAAATCACCTAAAACAAACAAAACATCCAATGCTCCCAACAGGATGCTAAATAATCAAACATGCTATATTCATACACAAGAATACTACATAACAAAAAGAACAGGGTACTGATAAATCTAACAACACGGATGAATCTCAAACATTATTCTGAGTAAATGAAACCAAACCACAACCTGATTCCACTTATAGGAAGTATAAAAACAGGCAAAACTAGTGGTTGAGTGGATGGCACTGGATGAGAAGGGGCATGAGGGAATTTTCTGGAATGATGGAGACATTTACAACTGATTGCATGGGTGGACAACTGCAAAAATGAGGCACTAAGCTGATCACCTAAAAGTTGCGCATTTTACCACACATAAACTATACTTCAATTTTTTAAAAGGAAGGAAAAGAATTCCCCTTGGAATCCCAAAACATGCGTAACCCAAGGGGGAACCCAGGAACGCCCAGCCAATCAGAAGTGGTTGGAGCCACCTGCTCCTCCACCGCCCCCACGGGCTGGCTCTGCTCCCGGGGCTCACCCTCAGGGCTTCCAGTACGCGTTCTGCTCCACGTCAGTCCAGGCAGGGAACGCTGACAGAGCGCATCAAGCCCCTCCTCACCAAGCATCCCCGTAGGCCCAGAATTCAGAGACTTCTGCCAAATTCCTGCAGCTGTGGGGTCACAGGGCCGGGTCTCATCATGGAGTCCAGCCTGGCCCTCCTACCACCTTCCCGGCTGCAAGTCTCTCCGCCCTCTGAAGGCAAAACAAACACTTTGCTTTTGCCAAGCCAGAAAGCCAGCAGACACCCTGGTCACGGGGTTTCAGTTTCCAACCCGCAGGGGCCTGATGAGAAAATTCTCGGAGAGCGCCCTCTACAGGAATTCTGGGAAACGCAGGCTTTCCTCTTCCCCCCAGCCGGTTTGTGCGAGGCCGGGCCAACGTGGTGGGAGTGCAGGACAGAGGCAGAGCCCCCGGGGCCACCTGCTCTTTCCTCTTCCCCGTTTCCTCTGACCTCCGGCCGCCGGGGGAACTCTGAGAAACCTTCAGCGCCTCTCCAGGTACGTTTGAAAACCTCTGCGGGAATGTGGGGGTGGAGGGATTGTATAAAACTGGAGTCCAGGGGTCTTGTGTATAGAAACTGGCTGGAGCAGAGATCCTAGTCCCAGGAGTGCCCCCGACCCCGGATGCCTACGAGTGGCCACAGGCAGCCACCCACCAACCACCTCGCAAGCTCTTGTGTGTATTTCTAACATGCAGACACCCCTGGAGAGCGGCTGGCACACCTGCACGCCCCTTACTCTCCACGGAGCCCTCCTTGCCTTCCTCCTCCTCTTCTTCAAAAGTCACCGCGCAGGCCTGGGCCTGATCAGACACCCGTTGGTCACAGCTCTGATACTGGAGCCCTCAGTCCACACCTGCCCCAGCCCCTCTTCAGAGGCTGGCTCCTCTGTCCCCTGCAGGACCCTGGTCTGCTCTGAGGATGACCGGGAGGGCCTGAGCTTTGTAATCCTCCTGGCTCCTGGCTTTGGCCTGACCCAGCCCCAGCCATTGCAGCCATCTGGGGAGTGAACCAGTGGATGGAAGATCTCTCTGTGTCTGCCTCTACCTCTGTCTATCTCTGCCTTTAAAATAAAAATAAAATAAATCTTAAAAAAAAAACTTGTTTGGGAACGTTTATAACAGCATTACTTTAATAACCAAAAACTGAAAACAACCCAAATGTTCATCAGCAGGTGAAAAAATACACTGGGGTATACTGATACCACTTGAACAAAATCCTACTCAACAATAGTATTAATACTTGCAACAATATAGACGAACCTCAAAACTGTCAGGTGAAAGAAGCCACACACAAAGAGAGGCCACACTGTTTGATGCCATTCATATAAAGAACACGGAGCGAAGCGGGCACCTGGGCTGGCAGTTAAGACACCAGTTAACACCTGTGTCCCGCATCAGCGTTCAAGTCCAGACTCTGGCTTCTGACTCCTCTTTCCTAACAGTGTAGACCCTGGCAGGCAGCAGGTGATGGCTCAAGTACTAGGGTCCCTGCCTCCCACGTGGGAGACCTGGACAGAGTTCCCAGCTCTCGGTTTCCAGCTACAGCTGTTGTGGGCATTTACAGAGTGAACCCCCGGAATGGAGTCATTCGCTCTCCCTCTGTGTGTGTGTGTGTGCCTCTCAAATGGTAAACTTTTTGATTAATGATAGTAAGTAGATTAGTGCTTCCTTGGGGAAGGAGGGTGTAGAGAAGCCCGGGCCAGGGCAGGGCAGGGGGAGTTGGCGATTACAACAAGGAGTGAAGAAACTTGGGAATGACTGTGGTATCTATGTATGTCTGCATTTACATATAAGTCAGGAGTTATGCAACTGAACATTTTAAATATATAATTTATTTTAAGTCAATTATACTGCAGTAAAGCTGTAATTCTTTTAAAAAAATTTGAGTAACAGAGAATCACAGAAGAGCTAAAAAGCTCCTCCAAGGCCCACCCCAAGTGCCTCTTCTCGGATTCTTTCTCCAGCTCTCCAGACAGAGTTGGTCCCAGTGCAGACACTTCCTGTGCTGTAATTAAAGGCATTTTTGAAGACTCATTTTATTTATTTGAAAGGTAGAGTGACAGAGGGTGGGAGGGACAAAGAGACAGAGATCTTCTGTCGACTGGTTTGCTCCTCAGATGGCCACAATGGCCAGCACTGGGCCAGGCCAAAGCCAGGAGCCAGAAGTTCTTCTGGGTCTCCCAAGTGGATGGTAGGGGCCCAAGCACTTTGACCATCCTTGGCTGCTTTCCCAGGTGCGTTAGCAGGGAGCTAGATTGGAAGGGAAGTAGCTGGGACTCGAACTGGCGCTCCAATCTGTGCTGTTGGCATCACAAATAGTGGCTTAACCTGCTGTGCCCCAACGCCAGCCCCAGGAGGCATTTTTCATGTGTTCCTCTTCCTCTCTGAGCAGATAGATCCATTGGAAAGCTGGTGGGCTAAGCAGTAAATAACCATAAGATTACCCAATTATGATTTTTCCTGGACAAGACAGCTGACTCACGAGTTAAAAGGGCTTTGGCCGGCACCGTGGCTCAATAGGCTAATCCTCCACCTTGCGGCGCCGGCACACCGGGTTCTAGTCCCAGTCGGGGCGCCGGATTCTGTCCCGGTTGCCCCTCTTCCAGGCCAGCTCTCTGCTGTGGCCAGGGAGTGCAGTGGAGGATGGCCCAAGTGCTTGGGCCCTGCACCCCATGGGAGACCAGGAGAAGCACCTGGCTCCTGCCATCGGATCAGCGCGGTGCGCCGGCTGCAGCGCACCGGCCGTGGTGGCCATTGGAGGGTGAACCAACGGCAAAGGAAGACCTTTCTCTCTGTCTCTCTCTCTCTCACTGTCCACTCTGCCTGTCAAAAAAAAAGGGGGGGGGGGCTTTGACGGCTGCCCTGGAGGTCACCACACAGCGGCATTTCAGAGGGTCTACACGACTGACTTGTAGGCAAACTTTGCTCACCAGTTGAGGCCAACCCAGATTTGAACATACATATCAATCCAACGAGAGCTGCTGCTCATTCTCACCTCAGAATTCCCCAGTGAGAGCCCATCTGTGGGGACAGCAATCACCACGCACCGGCCCATTATGTCCTGGACATGCCCACCTTGACTCATGGTGGGGGTGCGGTGGAGCTTCCCACCAAGCTCACGTGAACCTGCTCATGTGAGTAGCAGCTCAGAACTGTCTCAGCAGGGCCCAGCCTCCAATGCTGACTGATTGGCAAAAGGGCGTTTGGAGTCCCATAGGGTCTTGTCTGTGCCCCAAGATCCATGAGGGGAGCTGAGTACCCTTCTGCTCTCACAGTGTGCACCCAAAGCCAGAACTGCGTCTCAGCCGATTGTCAGACACTGGCCAGGCCTGAGAGCACCACGTGTTGAGGGGGTTCGGTCCCCAGCCCAGCTCTGCCATGACTGTATGTGACCATGAGCAAGACACTTTGTCTCTCCTGCATTCAACATCCTCATGTGTAAAAAGGGCCTAGTTTCAATCTGTGATTATTTAAAAAAAAATTAGGGAAAGATGTAGACAACTCATTTTTTTAAAAGATTTTATTTATTTGTTCGAGAGGCAGATTTACAGATAGAAAGAGGCAGAGACAGAGAGAGAGGTCTTCCATCTGCTGGTTTATTCCCCAAATGGCCACAATGGCCAGAGCTTTGCCGATCCAAAGCCAGGAGCCAGGCTCTTCCTCCGGGTCTCCCACATGGGTGCAGGGGCCCAAGGACCTGAGCCATCTTCTACTGCTTTCCCAGGCCATAGCAGAGCTGGATCGGAAGAGGAGCAGCCAGGACACAAACTGGAGCCCATATGGGATGCAAGCACCGCAGGCAGAGGTTTAACCTACTGTGCTACAGCACTGGCCCCAGACAACTAATTTAACAAACAAACAAACAAAAAAACAACAAAAAAAACCTTTTGTTTTGTTTGTTTTGAGAGGCAGAGAGACAGAAAGAGCTCCCACCTGCTGGGGCACTCCTCAAATATGCCAAGGCAGGGCAAGGCCAAAGCCAGGAGCCAAGAATGCCATTCAGGTCTCCCACATGGTTGGCAGGCATCCAAGTCCTGGAACCCTCACCACTGCCTCCCAGGTCTGCCATGGCAGGAAGCTGAAGTCAGGAGCCACAGCTGGGTGCTTCAGTGCGTCTTAGCTGTTGGACTAACCGTCTGCCCCTTGACTAATTTTTAAATAGGATCACTGTTTAGAAGAAAAAGAAGTGATGCTCCAGTTAATGCAGGAGTGGGAGCCAGTGCCTCATTCCTGTTTCCTCTGTTCCTCTGTTCCTTGTCGCTGCTCTCTCCCAGGGACCCCGAGACATCCCGTTCCCAGGTTGCATCACTAGATAAAGTTGAGGAGCCACATGACCCATTCCGGATGGAGAGTTTGGGAGCATGCCTTTATCCAGCAGCCAGGGAGTGGTAAGCACAAGGTAACAGAGAGGAAGAAGACAGCCAGTGCTCCTTATAGCCTGATGGAGGAGAAAGACAAGTAAATAGCCAATTATTCACTCAGTAGACACTGACTGTCTACCGTCTGCCAAGCATCATCCCAGGCTCCAGGGATACAGCCATTTTTTCTAAGCAACAAAGAGTACAAAAATAACCCCAAAAAGCACAGGTAGTGAATGGTGTTGAAGCTGTTGTGAATAGGGTTACTGTGAGTAGAGACTTGGGCGGGGGGGGTGCCGCAGGAGAATTCTTCTCTTGGACTAGGACGTTTCCACTGAGATGTGATGGATACGAAGGCTTGGAGGAGATGGAAAGAGCACTCCTAGCCCACAAAGCATCAAGGGTCCAGAGTCCGAGGTGCAGAAAAGCTTGGCCTGCCTCGGTGGAACCAAATGAGGCCGGCACACCCAGAATGCGTCAAGGGGAAAACATCATGGCTTGATGTTGTAGAGTTAAGCAAAGACTGAATCACGCAAGGTGCATCAGGCTGTGGTAAGGAGTCCGGGATTTGTTTCCTCAAGTCAGTGGGAAGATATCAGAGGAATTTATTTATCCATTAGTTGAATACCATTTAATTGGCACTTGCAAAAAGCCCTCTGATTGCTGTGTGGAGAACAAGGAACACATGAGACTTTTTGTGCAAGAAAAGGCAGAATTTTCTGATGGGTTGGGTTTGGCGATTTTAAGAAAGCAAAGCACGGCTTTCCCCTCTGGATTGAGCAGCCGGGCAGCGGGGCAGGAGACTGCGGGAGGAGGCGTCAGCACAGGGCAGGGTGATTTCACCCCACAGCTCCAGCCAGACACAGCAAATGGCTCATGGCTCGCAGCCCAAGCCGCTGCCTCTGGTCCAGATCTTTTTTTTTTTTTTTTTTTTGTCATAATTTTATTTTTTTTTTCATTTATTTTTTTTTAACTTTTATTTTTTATTTTTTTTAACTTTTATTTAATGAATACAAATTTCCAAAGTACGATTTATGGATTACAATGGCTTCCCCCCCATACCGTCCCTCCCACCCACAACCCTCCCCTTTCCCACTCCCTCTCCCCTTCCATTCACATCAAGATTCATTTTCGATTATCTTAATATACAGAAGATCAGCTTAGTATACATTAAGTAAGGATTTCAACAGTTTGCTCCCACACAGAAACATAAAGTGAAAAATAATAGATGATTTTTTTTAAATGATGATGAAATCAGATCAGACCTATTGTCATGTTTAATCCCAGTGAGAGTCAAGTTGGGAGCTGATAATTTCTTTCTTTTTTTTTTTTTTTTTTTACAGAGGATCAGTTTAGTATGCATTAAGTAAAGATTTCAACAGTTTGCACCCCCATAGAAACACAAAGTGAAATATATTGTTTGAGTACTCGTTATAGCATTAAATCTCAATGTACAGCACATTAAGGACAGAGATCCTACATGAGGAGTAAGTGCACAGTGACTCCTGTTGTTGACTTTACCAATTGACACTCCTGTCTATGGCATCAGTAATCTCCCTATGCTCCAGTCATGAGTTTCCAAGGCTATGGAAGCCCTCTGAGTTCTCCGACTCTTATCTTGTTTAGACAAGGTCATAGTCAAAGTGGAGGTTCTCTCCTCCCTTCAGAGAAAGGTACCTCCTTCTTTGAAGACCTGTTCTTTCCACTGAGATCTCACTCACAGAGATCTTTGGCCAGAGTGTCTTGGCTTTCCATGCCTGAAATACTCTCATGGGCTTTTCAGCCAGATCCGAATGCCTTTAGGGCTGATTCTGAGGCCAGAGTGCTATTTAGGACATCTGCCATTCTATGAGTCTGCTGAGTATCTCACTTCCCATGTTGGATCACTCTCCCCTTTATTTATTCTATCGGTTAGTGTTAGCAGGTACTAGACTCGTTTATGTGCTCCCTTTGACTCTTAGTCCTTTCATTATGATCAATTGTGAACTGAAATTGATCACTTGGAATAGTGAGATGGCATTGGTACATGCCACCTTGATGGGATTAAATTGGAGTCCCCTGGTATGTTTCTAACTCTACCATTTGGGGCAAGTCAGCTTGAGCATGTCCCAAATTATATATCTCTTCCCTCTCTTATTCCTACTCTTATGTTTAACAGGGATCACATTTCAGTTAAATTTCAACACTTAAGAATAACTGTGTATTAATTACATAATTAAACCAGTCATATTAAGTAGAACAGACAAAAAAACTACTAAGAAGGATAATGTATTAAGTTGTTCATTAACAGTCAGGGCTATGCTGATCAAGTCACCGTTTCCCATAGTGTCCATTCCACTTCAACAGGTTTCCTTTTTGGTGTTCAGTCAGTTGTCACCGATCAGGGAGAACATATGGTATTTGTCCCTTTGGGACTGGCTTACTTCACTCAGCATGATGTGTTCCAGATTCCTCCATTTTGTTGCAAATGACTGGATTTCGTTGTTTCTTACTGCGGTATAGTATTCTAAAGAGTACATATCCCATAATTTCTTTATCCAGTCTACCATTGATGGGCATTTAGGTTGGTTCCAGGTCTTAGCTATTGTGAATTGAGCTGCAATAAACATTAGGCTGCAGACCGCTTTTTTGTTTGCCAATTTAAATTCCTTTGGGTAAATTCCAAGGAGTGGGATGGCTGGGTCGAACGGTAGGGTTATCTTCAGGTTTCTGAGGGATCTCCAGACTGACTTCCATAGTGGCTTGACCAGTTTGCATTCCCACCAACAGTGGGTTAGTGTCCCTTTTTCCCCACATCCTCGCCAGCATCTGTTGTTGGTAGATTTCTGTATGTGAGCCATTCTAACCGGGGTGAGGTGGAACCTCATTGTGGTTTTGATTTGCATTTCCCTGATTGCTAATGACCTTGAACATTTTTTCATGTGCCTGTTGGCCATTTGGATTTCCTCTTTTGAAAAATGTCTATTGAGGTCCTTGGCCCATCTCTTAACTGGGTTGTTGGTTTTGTTTTTGTGGAGTTTCTTGATCTCTTTGTAGATTCTGGTTATTAACCCTTTATCTGTTGCATAGTTTGCAAATATTTTTTCCCATTCTGTCGGTTGTCTCTTCACTCTCCTGACTGTTTCTTTTGCAGTACAGAAACTTCTCAATTTGATGCAATCCCAATAGTTAATTTTGGCTTTGACTGCCTGTGCCTCCTGGGTCTTTTTCTGGTCCAGATCTTGGCAGCCTCAATCCCAAGTCACTGCAGCAGCATCCCGACTACGAAGCTCAGCTGCCTGGCCTCCCGCCTCTCGCCGTGCTGCTCCTCCGTGTTGGTTTTCACGTGTCCTGTTGCACTGTTCTCATCCGTCTCCTTCCCCTGCCGGTCTCAGGGGAAGCTGTGCCTTGCTTCTCCACTGGCTGATTCTCTGCTTTCTATGGCACACTACAGAGAAACAAATGTTGACACTGAACGTTTTTCAGAGAGCCATTTAAAATTTACACCCAGACAGTGTAAAGGGAGGAACTAAATCCTAATGGTCTGTAGCAGGGCTGGAAAAGGGTGACATCTTTCCTCCCTGTACTAGAGTTAATGCGGACTCTCCTATGACAACAGGTTAATGGGGAAAAGCACTAGCAGATCTATTTTATTCTTTCACATGATACAGGAGGCTTCAGAAATGAAGACCCAAAGACCCAGGGAAAGGTGTCTACTTTTGTGCTTACAGTCAATGAAGAATGGGCAGCCACACAGAAATGTCATTGGCTGGGAAGGATGTGACCTAATGGTGACAGGCTGTGCGGGGAAACCCTGCAAGGTCTCTCTGTTCCAATTCCCCTCTGTGTGGCTTTCCTTCCTCCTCTAGACCCTCTAGAATGAGAGGCATCTGGTCTACTACCACAGAAGGTAGGCCAGGGGGCATAGCAGGTTAAGCTGCCACCTGCAACGTTGGCATCCCATATGAGCACCAGCTCAAGTCCCAGCTGCTCCACTTCCGATCCAGCTCCCTGCTAATGTTCCTAGGAAAGCAGAGAAGGTTGGCCCAAGTGCTTGGGGCCCTAAACCCATGTGGGAGACCCAGAAGAAGCTCCTGGCTCCTGGCTTCGGCCTGGCCAAGCTTGGTTGATGCAGCCATTAAGGAAGTGAACCAATGGATAGAAGATTCTCTCTCTCTCTCTCTCTCTCTCTCTCTCGCATTCTCTCAAATAAAACAAATCTTTGAATTTAAAAAAAAAATGGTAGGTTAGAGAATATCTTTAGGGTAAGCAGGAAAGGCAAGGGAAGGTTAGAGTAAATTTCTAGGTTTTATGGCTGTCATTGGAGGAAAGGGGCTCTGATTCCTATGGTCTGCTTGAAGAAGGGGAATTCTTCGCTTCGGTGGCCTGCTTGGGGTGAGACAGAGGAGCAGGAGAAAGACTGGAAAAGGCCAGAAAGGCATGACTTTGGAGTCCCTTTCAATGTTTTTTAGTTCCAAGTATTCAGCATGTCAAAGCTCCATACTTTGGGGTATCATTTCTGAACCCCAACATTAGTGAGGAAGTTTATGAGAGCAAACCATTTCTTAAAGATTTATTTATTTACTCCCCTGCTTTCCCAACAAATCATTTTTGGGATAGCAGTTTTTATAATTGCATTTAGGTGAACACACAATTATGTAAACATTTTATTTGAGAAGTAATAATTTGCTACATCTGTAATCACGTAGAAAATATAGAAAGTGCAAATTAGGCATTTTATAAGGGAAAAACTCTATTATTTTATGAGAAAATAACTAGTTTCCCAGATTAAATCTTAATTCCATTAAAGTTCTTCAGAAAATTTCCCAAATATTTCATCAAGAAAATGAAATTTCTTCTCAGAGATTATGACTTACGATACTAAAAGATTCTGTTCTAGACCATATTTGAGAAAATATATTCGATAGTAGTCAAAATTTATTATGGGAAAAATCCTTGCACTTCGTAGTAAAGTAGCAGTACAGAACTGAAGTTATTGTTGACAATATACTGAAATAAAATATATTCAAGTCTAACAAGACCTTTGTCTGCTACACATCACTGCTTCTAATTCTTTGCACCTCAAAGGTCAGTGGTCTGTTAATGTTTTCCAACCTCCTGTCTTCAGCTTCACCAAAAATGATAATAGCCAATGTGGCATTTTTTTATTTCTCAAGGCTTTTATGAAATATGATTAAAATTAAATTTCTATCTCTAAGGCCACTGGAATATCGAGGTCCATTATTTCTCATTTCTACACTACAGTACTAAGGCCTGGATTACATTGTTTTGCAAAGATCACTCTCCCCAGCATTATCCTGGCAGGGGAGAGGCGGTTTTTCTTTTGCCAATTATATTGTTGTACTTTCCTCATTGCTTCCCTTGCTTAAGCCTGCTCTTCTCCTGTATTCCTGAATTTTACTAATAATACAATTATATTCCGGGTCACCCCCCAGAAAACGTCTGTCAGCCATTCAACTTCCTTTTTCTTGTCCTTTCCCCACTACTATATTACTGATAAAATTGTCATAGCTGTCCCATTCCTCCCCAGGCCATTGGTCACAACTTTGGGTCAAGTTCTCTTTAACTTTTTGTTGTTCCAATGACAACTTCCCAACCAGTCTTTCTCCAGAATTTCCTCCTCCAGTCCAGCTGTGATGTTATGACGTATATATGTCATATCTATATAAATTGGTCTTCATCTTTAGTTCCTGGCATGAAGACCCCAAGCCCTCATAATTCACTGAGCATCAGGGATGCTGGCAGAATCCTTTGTTCTGATGTTTGGTCTTTGACCCTGGTTCCAGAAAGCCAGCCTCCAATCCCTTGGATAGTCTCAGGGTAGGCGTATCTTTTGTTGGGATGAGGCAACTCCTGGTGGGCTCTTGGATGGCAGCCTGGTCAACACAAAGACCAAGCCTTGATGAAAAGCTTAGAACTCTCAGCCCCACCCCACGGGCATCCTTTGGGAAGGGGGAGATCTAGTGGATTCCACCTTAGTGATGAAACTGCCATAAAAATCGCTGGACTGTGGGGTTTGGGGCGTTTCTGGGCTGGTGAATACATTTACATGCTGGGAGGTGGAGCCCCCAACCCCAACTCCACAGGACAGGGACCTTCCAGAGCCTAAACTCAGGACCCTTCCAGAATCCAGTGTGCACCTCTTCCTGGCTGTCCATCTACATCCTTTATTAAATAATAAACTGGCAAATGTGGAACCCTGAGCCCTAGAGCCATCCTAGCAGATTATGCAGCCTAATGAAGGGGCTGTGAGAACCCCAATTACAGCGAGTCCGTCAGAAGTACCTACCGGGCACAACCTGGGACTTATGATTGGCATCTGAATATAGGAGGCAAAGGAGAGGTCCTGTAGAATTCTGCCCTTAACCCGTGATGTCTGACGCTAACTCTGTTTAGTATCAGAATTGAACTGAACTGTAGGACTCCCAGTCAGTGTGTGTGATACGGGCGGGAGGAGGGGGACATCCCCCACTTGCGTGACCAAGTACACTGAAATGTGTTGAGCCCATAGCAGGAGCCAACAGTCGGCTGGTGTTTACGCCTGCCTACACATTGCTTCCGAGTTTATCCTCCTAAAGCACAAACCATTTCTGTAGCGCTCACAGTGCTCAGTGGCCTCGCTGACCCAAGAATCAAGGTGTAAGCCGTCGCCATGATCCTTCCTCCATCGGCCCCACCTGCTGCTCTGCCCTTCACTGCGGGACAGCCCGGAGGAGTGACGGGGTCCTCCCCATGAGCACACACCCCAAATGGGGCCCTCACCCATTCAAGGCAATGCGCAGACGCGGAGGTTGTTCAGAGTCTCCTGAGAACGTTAGAAGGCGCAGGATGAGAGCAAGATCCGGAATACGGAAGTTTTCCAAAGGCAGCCTTGCTTCCCCACCCATCTCAGGGGCGGGGCTGACGGGTTTTAGTGGCTGTGTCCGCGGTATAACCACTGCCGCGATACAGAGATGGAGCAGTTCCACCTCTCCCGGGCTTCCTCCTTCCCCTTTGCACCTACGCCTTCCCTCACCCCCATCTCTACAACGTCTTCATCCACTTTTTCTCACTGTAATTTTGTTTCTTCTAGAGTTTCACGCAAATGGAATGAGACATCTACAGCTCTTTGTGTTTCTCTCTTTCACTTTCAAAGACTTTCTGTTTATTGATTTTATTTATTTGAAAAGCAGAGACAGACAGACTCTGACAGAGAGAAGTCTCCAGCCCCTGGTTGCTCCTCAAATGCCTTCTCTTCACCTGAACGCTCACCTATATTGCTGAGTGTGCTACTAATCTTAAAGGTATTTTTAAAATAAGTGTCTATTCAACTTAACAATTAAAAGACAAAAGTAATATTTGCTTTGGAAACAGTGTTTACTTCTCAAAAAGTTCTTGAGAATCAAGAGAGAAGAGCTAAGAGCAATAGGACATAGGCACACGAAAGTACAGAAGACTTGCTGCTTATCCAGTCCCCACCACTAGGGATGTTGGATATGGATGTCCTGGACTAGGAAGTAAGCAAGGCCGTCGAAACAAACTGTGCCCTCAGTAAAAGCTGTGGGCCAGACTATGAAAGGTCTTGACTTGGGAAGGCCACACACAGATGAACAGAACCTGATGTGACTGTGGCAGGTTGTCTGTGGTCAGAGCCAGCAGTCTCTGAACACTGAGCCAGAATTCAGACAACTTTGTGGCCTCTTGAGGGAGCACCTTGCCATCCACATTAGCTATTCTCCTCAACACAGGGCATGAAGGCATTCAGAATGGAGAGCCACCTGCCCAGCATCCCCTGGATTAGCCAGCAAGACACCCATCTCCAGGGATTTGCCAAGCACCTGCCCAGTATCATAAAGAATGCAGCAACCCGCAAACTGTTGAAATCTTTACTTAGTATATACTAAGTTGATCTTCTATATATAAAGATAATTGAAAATGAATCTTGATGAAGAATGGGATGGGAGAGGGAGTGGGAGATGGAATGGTTGTGGGTAAGAGGGAGGTTATGGAGGGAAAAGCTGCTATAATCCAAAAGTTGTACTTTGGAAATTTGTATTTATTAAATAAAAGTTAAAAAAAAAAGAATGAAGCACCCCTCTGTGTAATAGTAGACAAAAATCTCTAAAATGCATTGTTAGGGAAAAGAGTTTATCAAAAGAGTTTATGTAGTAGGGTGCCATTTATATACAAGAAAAATATACATACATATATACATATACATATATATGTATGCTTAAATGTGTATATATACACAAAGATATGTGTATGAGAGGTCTTCAAAAGTTCATGGAAAATGGGCATTATCTTTTGATTCCATTTTTGCAAGAACTTGTTGTGCTCTGTGTGGGTGTTCATAGTTAATAATTTATGTATATGTGTCATAGATTATGTCTTTGAAGGAAACACAGGAAGGCAGTGGTAGTTTGTAGAATAGACTGGCAGCCAAGGCGAGGATGAATGAAGACTTCATTATTGTTATAAGCCCGTGGGTTCCTGTAGAGCATTTTTGACACGTGTATGGATTACATATTTCCAACACTGAATAAAATACCATAAGTAAATATTGAAACAGCATAGTGATTTTGCTTCTAGATAAGTTGCCCACAGAAGCCCTCATTTATGTACAAAAGGGGGAATATGTAATATCATCTGTAAGTGTGAAACATTAGAAAGAACCACATCTTCACTGACAGAGAATCACAATTAGAATGAACAGATCTAATGGAGAGCAGCATGCAGCAGTTAAAGGACATGAACTGGACCGATCTGCACCTCAACTTGGAGAGACTCCAAATCATATTGAGTAGACAATGAGCATAAGATAGAATATAGATTTAGCACACAATTTAAGCAAAAAATTTATAACACCTACCTGAGAGTATAAAACTGGTCCAGTAGAACACCAGACTCCCAGTGTCATTTACCTCTGGAGGGCAAGGTTGCACCAGACTGCGAAGCTTCCTCCACACCTGTAATATTTTATTTCTTAAAAGCATCTACAAAAAGAAGAAGAAGAAGAAGAAGAAGAAGAAGAAGAAGAAATAAACATCACAAAGTGCTAGAAGGTTCCATTCTAAATGACATAAATATAGATGCTTGTTATGTTATTCTTTGTATTTTTCCGTAATTTAAACATTTCTAAAGTATGCAGCCAAGGTCACCCAAGGAGATCCTTTTACTTTCTGTATAAAGTCAGGTCAATTCTAACCAGTCGGCCTTGCATTCTTCTCAAGTATTCCTTTTTCAAGATAAAATTTTGTAGGCGAGGTCTTAACATTGGGAAATTGTGGCTGTGGTTTCAGATTTCATACTTCTGACTACGCAACAGGATGAAACCATTGGCAAAGAGAATGCAGGGACTTTGGGTGCTGGTTGTGTACCACTTCAGCGCACAAATCTTTGTTGATCCCAGTCCAGCGCCCCCATTCTTCCAAAGTCTACTTCCATATTCTGTTGAAGACGCAGCCAGACTTGCCCTGAAGCGAGTCATTTTCCTTTGCTTCTTCGTAGAAGAGATGAGCGCGTGACCTCCTTTGGTCTTCCTGGAAAGGCGGAGCTTGTGAACACCTTTTAAAAACCTGAGACTCCACCTAACCTGAACACTTGGGTTCCAGCAACCTGCTCGGCAGAGAAGCAATTAGCCAAAATGATACCTGGAGGCTTAACTGACGCCAAACCTGCCACTCCAGAAATCCAGGAGATGGTTAACAAGGTGAGTTGTTGCGTTTCAGGAAAAAGTTTGACCCACAGTCTTGTCCCACAGGTTGGCCCTGTGGGAAGGCTGTGGGTGAATAGGAAAGCCAGAACATGGGGAAATGTGTGGTTTTGTTCAAGTTTTCTTACCACCAAAATTGGAAAACTGAGCTTGTCCGATGAGACCTTGAGTAAACCTGAAGTCTGTGAACTTGAGACCTGGAGCAAGTCACGTTCCTTCTCAGGGTCTCTGCTTCCTGTTTGCAAAGGCAGACTTGGTACTGGGTCATCTCTAAAGCCTTACAATGTCTGATTCTAGAATTACTAATTCAGTTTCTGAGAAAACCTCTGCCAATCTCATGAAGCCAACACATAATGAAAGCCTAAGCTTGTTAACAATTTGATGACGTCAACTTTGCTCTGCAGGGAGATTTTGTTTAGATGTTCTGGAGGAAGAACCATATTGTAAAGGCAATCCACTTACCTACATCCTGCAGTCTGCCCACAGAGATGTTGCTTTAGTTGGGTAGTAAGTAGAAGGTGGTTGGAGTAGAAGAGAAGGGACACAATCTATGGTGACTCCGCCAAGTTCTAAGCAGCCAAATTAACTGTGGGAAAACCAGAACTCAATGTGTTTAGCAAGCTGGCACATTTTTCTAAGTGCTATTTTATTAGCTGTCAATCACCTAAATAATAAAAATGTGTTATAGTCCATATTTTATGAAGGAGAAAAACATATAAGTGGCTAATATAGGTTTGTAGTTTTGTTGCCTTATTTTCTTGTATCATTCCCTCTTGTTTTCTCTCTCTTAAACCCCTTTCTATCCACTGCTTGAAAACAAGATGGGAGTGGAAATGGTGGGATGCTGTGTCTCTGAGGAGCCAGGTGCTTGGGATTCTACTACTCCTTCTTTGGGGCTAAATATTTTCAAGAGTTTTGTTGGTTTGTTTTTAATAACTGCCTTGAAGATGTTTCTTCTTAGAGGAGATACTGATCCATTACTGACTTCATTTGGGTCCCTGTATCAGATCAGTGTTCTGGACAGTAGTCACCTGCAGGTCTTGATAAAAGATTCTGATTGAGGAGGTCCGGGTGGCCTAAGGGTCTGCATGTTTGCCAGACTCCCAGGGGATGCAGCAGCTGCTAACTATGAACTCCCTTGCCTGCAGGACCGGAGATACGTGCTGTCCTACAAGGACTGTGGGACCTGGGGCTTTTAAAAACCAGGGTGTCAAAATAAAAGTGTTCATTCCACTCGTAAAATGAAGCCCACACCTCTCGCCTTTTAATCTGTGCAGACGAGGTGAGATAATGTGCATAAAAATGCTTGCCTAGGTGAGACATCACAACGGCTTTCTTCAAATTTTTGCCTGCTATCAGCCCTGATCCTGAAAAAATTCATCTGACTTTCCAGGGATTTGGAGCTACAGAGGGATAGGGGGAAATAGAGATTTGAAATATTGATGACTAGGAGATTTTAATGGGTTTTTAAAAGCCTGTCACCTGGTTAGCAAGAATAATTAAAAAAAAAAAAAAAAGGAGCAGCAGCTAGAAGGTCTTGTATTAATAACACCTACCTGTGAGCCACATCTTAAATTATAAAACTGATTAGAATGTGTGTTTCTTGCTGTGTTGCCTCAGGCTCCAACTTTGTCAGACAGCTGTAACGAGAGTTGGATACTAGCAAGAGCTGCTTCACCCCAGGGAGGTGCTGTGCCGTTTTGAAAGCCTTGACTTCCACTCAATCTCTCATTCGATCTTCTTAACCCCTGAGGTGGGCAGGAAAGCGTTATGTCCAGTTTCAGCCGATGAGATGAGGGTTCAGAGGTTAGGAACCACCTGGTTAGGAACCTAGCCTTCGCCCAGATTCTCGACTTCTTGCCCTTCCTGCCACACAGCGGCAGAATACGGAGAAGCCTGGTGAGGTAGGGGAAACTGGTTGACGGGGGATAGCACGGCCAACTTGTCCTGTCTGCGCAAGCGCAAGCCTCACATTCAAGTCCATGTGAGAAGAGCACGCCAGCGACTTGCTTCCTGCTACAGGCATTTCTTGGGTGTCTCCTACATGCTAACTATTATAGAAGCTGCAGAAGGGCGTAAGATATGCCCCTGCCTCCAGGAAATTTACAGTGTGCTTGGGGAAGTCAAGATATCTGAACAGAATATAAAGTGATATCCAATTACATGCTTTTTCTTTTTTTTTTTTTAAAGATTTATTTATTCTATTTGAAGGTCAGAGTTACACAAAGAGAGAAGGAGAGGCAGAGAGAGAAAGAGGTCTACCATCTGCTGGTTCAATTCCCAATTGGCCACAATGGCCAGAGCTGCACCGATCCAAAGCCAGGAGCCAGGAGCTTCTTCCAGGTCTCCCACGAGGGTGCAGGGGCCCAAGCACTTAGGCCATCTTCTACTGCTTTCCCAGGCACATTAACAGGGAGCTGGATCAGAAGTGGAGCAGCTGGAACTTGAACCGGCACCCATATGGGATGCCGGCACTACAGGCAGCGGCTTTACCCGCTACGCCACAGAGCCAGCCCTACATGCTTGTTCATAATCATAGGTTGTGGACCAGAGAGGACATTAGTGGTTCGTTATCATATCTCCTTACTTTTCAGGACTTGCTATGCGGTGCTTCAGCTCCCCGGATGCTGAACTCCCAGTTAGCTCTCAGCTGTCCTCAGGGGAATTCCTATGAAGTGCTGGAAATAAGAGGCAAAGCCAGTGAGCGCTTCCTAGTTTAGGAAGCAATTTAACATTGATTAAATCATTTATTGCCCAACAAACAACCCCATAGGGCAGGCATCCTTAGAAATGGAATCAGCTCTTTCTCCAAGGTTCTAGAACTGGGTAGGTCCCCACATAGTGCTAGGCAAATGGGTAAGGCATTGGTGATCACGTGCCCACTGTGATTGCCGGGATCCCAGGAACACCTCCACCACCAGTCTTTTACTTTGTAGTTTTTACTGTCGATTTCTGCATGCATTTCTGTTTTTCTAGTTACTTGGTAAAATGCAAGTATGCTTGAGGCTGGGCATTTGACTTGGCATTTAAGACATTGAATAGGGCCCCTTTGAGTCCCAGCTCCAGTTCCTAACTCCAGCTTCCTGTTAGTTCAGACCCTGAGAAGTAGCAGGTGATAGCCCAAGAAGCTAAGTTCCTGCAATCCAGGTCCAGGATCCAGACTGAGTTCCAGGCCCCCAGCTTAGGCTCCCCCACACACCTCCTAAATTGTGGGCATTCGGGAGTGAACCCGCAGATGGGAGCTCCCTTTCTCTCTCTCTCAAATAAGTTTAAAAAAGAAATTCTGCACTGCAACTGTTCTTAGAAAAGCAGGTGTTTATCAACTTTCTCTGTCCTTCTGTAGGAGCTCCCTAGTGGAATGCAAGAAGGGCAAGCACAGGGTCTGGGGTTGAGAGATGCGCATATTTTTGAGGGCAGAAGGAAAGAGTTTCCCCATTCGGTAGAAAACAAGCTGGGTGGGTGGCGCTGGTTCCCTGCACTAAGGGCTACAAAGGCACTTGGGTGCAGAGGGCACTTGGAAGAAGCCCCTCTTCCGAGATTGTCTGTGTTAGCTGAGCTCATTGCTTATCTCTTCCCTAAGGAAAGCAACAGTGAGTGGCCTTTCCATTCTGAAAATGTGAATGATGTAAACGATACAGTGTGAATTGCTACAGAGGGGAACAGGAATACAACGTGGTCTCTGCCCTCTAGGAAATTTACAAAACGCACTGGAGGTAAGAGAGATTAAAAAAAAAAAAAAAAAGGAAGAGGACCACAGCCATGAAAAGCCATAGTATGTGTAGTGACGGCTGATTAAACGAGTAGGCTAAAGAGCAAAGACCTCAGCGTCCTTATTGGTGATCCATTATCTTACACCCTACGCAGATATCCATTGGATGGGAATTCTGAGTATGTTTATGTGAAGAAATGTTATTGCAATCATTATTTTTAGAAGTAAGGGCCATGACACACACATACAAGCACGCACATATGCGCACACGCACACACACACACCCACCCACCCACCCCCACACATGACAGGTCGTAAAGCCGATTGCTGAATACCATTCCTGGGAAACACACACACAGCATGATTTGTTGGCCAGGACACTGCACAAACATCGTATCTACATACCATCCTGGGCACACCCTGGAGCCTAGCGTGTCGTGGCTGTCAGTCACCCCGTCCACACGTTGGTGTTGCCCTCTCTTAACCACAGCTCAGCTGCCTCTCCCACTGCCCCACACCCAAAAAAACCTGCTGTCAGCTGCCCCGGAGTCCTCGAGCACTTACGCTCCCGTCTTCATCAGGACATGCCGAGGCCCACTCACCAGACTGGGCCCCATGACACATGGTTTGCACACTCCTCCACCGGGACTCCCAGGACCCGGGAACTCCTGGCATTGCAATCCTCATCAGAGATGGCCCCCACGGCCAGCACTGCCTCTCCAGCTTCTTCTGCTCTGCTCAAGGAAGACACAGAGCCACAGCAAACCCCGCCCCATTACAAATCTACAGATTCGTGCCAAGCAACCACTACAGGCCCCTGGGGCTATCAGAAACCCTGTTGGATGTTTTCCAGATGTCCTCCAGAGGTGGGCCTGTGCCTCCTCTCCCCTCAGTTGTTCAGCCCCACCCATTACCCACACCCCCACCAAGAGGACGCCTCCCTTCTTAGGAGAGTGCGGGGCTCTGGGAAGAACATGCCCCTACTGTCTCTCCTCCCAGTCTCAGGCTCTGTCCCCCTCTCTTCAGCCAGCCCTTCCTCTCTCGGGGAACTTCATTTCTTGCATCCTGGGGTCCCCTTCCTTCAAACCACTGTCACATGACAAATGTCCACAAGTCCCATCTTACCAGCCCTACCAAACTCTCCATTTTTCTGTAAAAATCCCCCCAGATATGGCCTCTCCACAATGCCACCATTATCATCTGTCCATTCTCTCTTAAATTATGCACAGCCCCCCGGGTTTCTGCAGATTGATGTGATTAGGAGAAATGCCTGGGCGTTGGGTGCCAGGTGGCTCAAATCCTCAGAGCCCAGGGGACTAACAACTTACCAGGAAGACCTGAACGAAAGCTCTGGGATAAGTGGGTTTTCCCAGGTGCTTCTCCCTGGTAGTTTCCTTCTCCTGGCTGTGGACCAAACGACAAGCCCACACTGTTCCCTCCGGCTCCTCAGCCAGCCACACGCACACAGACCGAGAAAGGGGAACGCCAAGTGCATTGAGTGCCAGGTGTGCCTGTTCACCGCCAGGCTCCAACCACCGTTCCTAGCTGACTTCCTCCTGCCAGTGCCCATCCTGAGACGCTCTTAGCACCACGCGACCCTCTGAAACGTCAGGTTTCATTGTGAGCTCCTCTACCCCTTGCCCAGCTCCTAGCTCAGATCTTACCACTCCGTGGTCTCACTGCACAGCGTGCAGCGTTCACCAGCAGAAATCTGGTTGAAGGGAAAGAGGGAGGAGGAGGCTGTGAGTTGCAAGCCTGGAGAACCAGAAATCAAGGCGCAATCTGACAGGCACCAGTGCACCTGGGGAAATAAACCAGAACACCAGTCCTCTCATGGAAAATTCTGGACTCGTAGATTGCACTCATGTAGCGGAAAGGTTACAGATGTGGCTGTGTTTCTAAACAATAAAATAAAAACTTGGGATAAACACTAACAATAACAATGACCAAGAAACTGAAAGCCAGAAGGTACATTATAGGCCAGACAGGTTATCAGGCAAGGGCTTCGAGATAATTATGCAGGTGATTTTCCCACTGAAGCACTCATGCTCTCCTCTTAGTCTCAGGATCATTTGCAAAATGAGGATGAAATTAATCAGTTCTGAGAAAGTGTAGCGGTTAACCCTTTCCAGTGAGCTCTTAACCACCGGTGCCTGGCTGCCCCCCCACCTCCTCGGGAAGCTCAGGATGGGTTGCAGAGGGGGAGCCTGACGCAGGAACCTGTGCTCACTCGGCTTCTCTCCGCACATCGCTGCCTCCCCGCATCTTACCCACACTCCCTCGCCCCGCGTCCGTTTTGTTCTCACGATCTGTCTTCTCCCTTTCCTCACGCTGGAGCTGCATTTTCCATCTCAGTTAGGCACGCACTTTCTATCTATTCCCAGAGAAACGGGTGGTGGCCCACAGAGTGGCCCCTCAAAATGGCGCTGAGTTTGCAGATGCATATGTCGTGGAAAACAATTCCAGTGCCCAAACTGTGCACTGCTGGGAAGGACTCACTAAAGTTTACAAATTGCATAAGGGACTCTATAGCTCCCTTCTCCTGCTCGGTCTGGGAATGCTGGCCTCTAAGGGCACCTCCTCTTGTGGAGGACGGAATGACGACCCTCCCAAGGTCTGCACACCCTAATCCCTGCACCCTGTGGACATGTGACCTTGCACAGCCAAAGGGACTTTGCCTGCAAGTAATTTGAGGCTCTGAGCTGGGAAGATCATCCTGGATGGTCTGGGTGCATACAGTGTAACCACAAGCTCTTTGTAAGAAGTGTGCATCAAGCCTGCACTCTGGGTTATAGATGTATTTTTCACAGGGACATAGATGAGCAATTCTGATCCTATTTTATCCATAGACTGGATCTGAAGAAATAAGCCAATATATTGTGAATAATGAGAGCCAGGCTTTTTCTTGGTATTTGAGAAGGGAATTACAAAGAAGGAAAAGACCAGAGCTAAGTGAATCCTGTAGATTAGAATCTCGATAGATTTTTAATCAGAAGAATACAAATATATCATACATGATAGATATAATGTGTCATATTAATACACATATACGAATACATATATAAGTATACACATATACATTACATCTTATGTGCCCTTATGCGATGCTGGAACTATAAGCGGTGGCTTAACCTACTATGCCACAGTGTCAGCCCGGTAGAATTCCAATTAAATGTAGAAGGAATTAGGGGCCAGCGCAGTGAACTAAAGCCCCAGCCTGCTGCGCTGGCATCCTAAATGGGCACCAGTTCAAGTCCTGGCTGCTCCACTTCCATTCCAGCTCTCTGCTAATCCGCCTGGGAAAGCAGCAGAGGATGGCCCAAGTCCTTGGGCTTCTGCTTCCATGTAGGAGACCCGGAAGAAGCTCCTGGCTCCTGGCTTCGGACTGGCTCAGCTCTGGCCGTTGCAGCCATCTGGGGAGTGAACAAGCAGATGGAAGACCTCCCCCCACCCTGTAACTCTTTCAAATAAGTAAAATAAATTTTAAAAAACAATGTAGAAGGAATTATAGAAAATTTAAAATGTTACCATTTAGCAAACACCACAGGAAAAAATATAAACAACAACCATCAATGAATGACGGTATGACGCGGAACAGGACAGCTGCATAGTCTGAGAGTGTCTCCTCTCTCCTCACAGGAGTTGCATTAATTTCCCAGGAGGGGCCGGTGCTGTGGCTCACTTGGTTAATCCTCTGCCTGCAGCGCCAGCATCCCATATGGGCGCCAGTTCTAGTCCCGGTTGCTCCTCTTCCCGTCCAGCTCTCTGCTGTGGTCCGGGAAGGCAGTGGAGGATGGCCCAAGTGTTTGGGCTCCTGCACCAGCATGGGTGACCAGGAGGAAGCACCTGGCTCCTGGCTTTGGACTGGCGCAGCGCCGGCCTTAGCGACCATTTGGGGAGTGAACCAACGGAAGGAAGACCTTTCTCTCTGTCTCTCTCTCTCTCTCTCATTTCTATAACTCTACCTGTCAAATAAAAAAAAAATTCCCAGGAGAAGATGTGGTGACTCTACAATGGAGAAAGTTGGCAGACATGTATATCCTGTAAGAATACACTACGAGTGTATCACTTTGCTGCTGTCCTAACCAAAAACCTCTCATGCTGTCCCAAGAGAAGATCAAATAAACCCAAACCGACATGCTGCGGATTAACAGGCCAGTGTTCTTCAAAAGTGTGAAGGTCATGAACAGCAAAGACCTAGGAATTAACCCAGAGTGGAGGAGAGGAAGGAGACATGACAACTGAATGCGACGTAGGCTCCTCAATGGGATCCTGGACCAGAAAAGGGACATTCTGGGGACAATTGGTAAAATTCTAGTAAGACCGATAGACTACTTAATAGTCATACTACGCCATGTTAAGTTCCTGGTTTTGGTTGTTATTGTAGGAATGCTATGAGAAAATTCAGTATACTATTTTTGCAACTTAAGTATGAAATTATTTCCAAAAATGTAAAATTAGTAGGAAGTAATGCTGTCCTGTGTTTTAGCAACTGAAAGCATACATAACTGTTAGAGCTTTAACAGTCAAAATGTTACTAGATTGCCTTGCTATACTGAGCATGTATGTAGTATGCAGCCTAATACAACAACATTTGACCGTTTAACCCACGTTGCCTTGAAATAGGTGTTTTCTGCTGAAATACTAACAATGGCTCACGGACCTCGGTACCATCTTTGAGGACATTTAGGAGCACGAGATCCCCAAGTTTGAAAATCACATAATGGAGCGCAATACAACTTTGGTAATTTGTTTCCTCTTTTCTCTTTTTAAGTTTAAAACACAGCTTGAAGAAGAAACAAATGAGAATTATGAAGAATTTGAAGCTGTGGAGTACAAAACTCAAGTAGTTGCTGGGATAAATTACTACGTGAAGGTTAGCATTTGGCATCCACCTTAACACTAAAAAATACTGTATCTATAATTTGATGTGCAGTTCCCTATTTCCCCTACCGTATAGTTTGTTCCTTCTGATTGTCCTAAAACTAAGATGCCTACTGTGATAGTTTCCAGGTAGTAGACTCTCAAGTTTGGCAGATAATATTCTATCTATACTATATTTTTCTTGTGAATTTATTTTTTAAAAGACTTATTTATTTGAAAGAGTTATACAGAGAGAGAAGGAGAGGGAGAGGGAGAGGGAGAGGGAGAGGGAGAGAGAGAGAGAGAGAGAGAGATCTTCCATCTGCTGGCTCACTCCCCAAATGGCTGCAACAGCCTGGGCTCGGCCAGGCAGAAGCCAGGAGCCAGGAGCTTCATTCAGGTCTCCTTCATGGGTGCAGGGACCCAGGGGCTTGGGCCATCTTTCACTGCTTTCCCAGGTCATTAGCAGGGAGCTGTATCAGAAGTAGAGCAGCTGGGACTTGAACTGGTGCCCATGTGGGATGCCAGCGCTTCAGGCAGCAGCTTTATCCACTATGCCACAGCACCAGACCCAGTGTAAACTATTTGTGCTCTTTAATTTTTATGTATTTGAAAAACAGAGAAACGGAGAGGCAGATACAGACAGAAGCAAAGAGATCTTCTATCCGTTGGGTCACTTGGCAAATGCCTGAAAGAGGCAGTGTGAGGCTAGGCTGAAGCCAGGAGCTGAGAACTTGATGTGGGTCTCCTACTTGAGTAGCAGAGACCGAAGTACTTGAGCCATTGCCTGCTGCCTCCCAGAGTGCGCATTAGCAGGAAGCGGAGATTGAAAGTGGAGCTGGGACCAGCAGCCAGGCCCTCTGATACATGGTGAGGTGCACCTGAACTGCTGTACCAGATTGCTTGCCCCCATTTTTGTCCAAGTACATTTTTGATTAATGTAATTTAACTTTTTTTTTGGGGGGGGGACTCAAGTAGATTCAGCTGTGGCACTCTGGCGATAAAGTAGTGAAGAACTTTATATATTTAAAAAATAATTTTATAGATCTATCAAAAATTAAGTCATGTACCAACCCATTCTAATTGAAGAAAATTCTTTTGACTTTATTTAGAGGAGATCAATTCAACAAGTCCATTGTAGGTACTTGAGAACCATTTTTGTTCTTAAGTAATAAAAAGATGGGGCCGACGCTGTGGCATAGTGGGTTAACACCCTGGCCTGAGGTGCTGGCATCGCATGTGGGCAGCGGTTCTAGTCCCAGCGGCTCCACTTCCGATCCAGCTCTCTGCTGTGGCCCGGGAAAGCAGTGGAAGAAGTCCCAAGTCCTCAGGCCCCTGCACCCGCGTGGGAGACTCTGAGGAGGCTCCTGGCTCCTGGCTTCGTATCGGCTCAGCTCCGGCTGTTGCGGCCAATTGGGGAGTGAACCATAGGATGGAAGACCTCTCTCTCTGTCTCTTCCTCTTCCTCTCTCTCTCTCTCTCTCTCTCTCGCTCTCTCCTTCTCCTCTCTCTGTGTAGCTCTTTCAAATAAATACATAAAATCTTAAAGAAAACGTATTAAAAAGATGATCATAAAAATAGCATGCATTCAGGTGTATTTACTTATCCATTGGATGAGAGCACAGTTTGTCTTTCTTCTCTTGAACAATTAACTACAGAACAGATAAAGTTTGCAGTGTTTTCAGCACAGAAACAAAGCAAGTGCAGCCAGCTGGCTCTGAGAGAGGACGTTATGCGGATTGCAGCTCAGTCCGGCCCAGTCAGCTCTTGTTCCCTGCGGAGATACTCGTGACTGAGACCCTGCTCTGTAGTGGGACAGCCACCACGGTGTTTTCCGCCCTTCATAACTTGCTGTTCTGCACAGCGAGAAAAGATAATTTCCCAGGTAAAACTGATCCTGTCCAAATAAACAGCCCGTCACAACTGGGACCAGTTTAATAACGTAAAAGTAATCCAAATGCGTAAGCTTCACATATTATTAACCCCCTGACGATTTAGTGAAACACTCATCAGAAAAGAATTCCAGAAAGCTCTTCCTCTGACTGCCCTGCGGCCCTGGTCTTAGCCAACTGTGCTTTCTCTCTCTCTCTCTCTCTCTCTCTCTCTCATCTTTCCTTCCTCCTGCTATCAAGCTTCTCCTGTTGGATTGTAGCCTCTGGCCTCAGGCACCCCCTTTACTACCTGGCAGTCTGGGTGCTGGTCCCTTTGCCCTGAGCCGCTGTGCTGATTTAAGGTCTTGCTAGTGACATGACAGTCTCTCTGGATCTTGGATTCCTGCCAAGAAGCGGGGTGGGAGAATGGAAGGACTACAGGCTTTGATGTTCCAGCAGCCCTGGGTTTGAGCCCTTGTTTGAACTGTTCTGTTAGTCAGCACCTGTCGATGAAGCCCCTCCTCTTCTCTGAATCTTGGATCCCTCAGCTGCACAACAGGTATAAATAACTTGCTGATGAGGAGTAAATATATAAGCACTTGCAATGTACCAAGCACTGTTCCAAAGCTCTGAGCTGGGCATGTGCTATCTCATTTAATCCTCACAGATCATCTATAGGTGTGATCACTTATCTTGGGTTACTAACGAGAAAAAGAAGCCTATAGGAGGTGAAGTTAACTAAAAAGGGAATATAAGTGTGTGAGGGGTTTTCAAAATCTTTGTGGAAAATGTGATTTATGAAAATCCTATGCATGGATTTCTCAATTTTTCACATCAAAATAAGCTTATCTGTTAATTCTGGTTTTCCCCAAACTTTCTGAAGTCCCCTGGTCGGAACCAGGATTTGGAGCGAGGGAGTCTGAGGCTTAGCGACTCACTGCTGCTGCTGGACAGATTTTCAAAGATGATGCATGTTCCAAGCACAAAATAGGTGCTTTAATTGGCTACACTTGGTACCATAAAGTGTTCATCTTAGTGATGGCCCATAGTAAGCATTTCATGCATGACATTTGTTAAAATTAGGAAAAGAAAGAACATCAAGTCATGATAAATATTAGGAGATGAAAACTTCTGTCTCAAAGAAGAATCCAACCAGAAATTTTTACCGTAAGTTCTCCAGGTTCTGGATAAATGCCTAATCCGCCCTTTCTGCTTTGCCGCCAACGACTTCCCACCGAGACCCTTTCACTTCACTGCTCCTCGGAGGTCTTCTGCCTCCCACCAGCAAGGCTGCGTGAAGTAGGTCCTGATCCACCCCGGATTTGCCAAGGCGGTTCTGATGTTCCTCTCTGGTGTCCAACTATGTGGCAGAGAGTGTTCCAATTTGAGAGTCGGAAAAACAGAGTCATCAAATTATAGGCTGTCACTCGTTCTCTTGCCCTGCACATCTTGTGAAAATAGAACACAATCTTGGACTGTCCTTTGTGCCAGATTATAATAAAAAATACAATGGCCGGCGCCGCGGCTCAGTAGGCTAATCCTCCACCTGCGGCGCCGGCACCCTGGGTTCTAGTCCCGGTCGAGGCACCGGATTCTGTCCTGGTTGCCCCTCTTCCAGGCCAGCTCTCTGCTGTGGCCCGGGAAGGCAGTGGAGGATGGCCCAAGTGCTTGGGCCCTGCACCCCATGGGAGACCAGGAGAAGCACCTGGCTCCTGGCTTCGGATCAGCACGGTGCACCGGCCGCAGCGGCCATTGAGGGGTGAACCAACGGAAGGAAGACCTTTCTCTCTCTTTCTCTCACTGTCCACTCTGCCTGTCAAAAAAAAATTTTTTTTAAATACAGTAAAATCACCCTGAGACCTGTGCTCCTTGCCATGCCTTTAGCCTGCCCTTTCTCTCATGCAATAAGGCAGTGGGTTTTGGAAGCAGAGTCTAAGAATGTGGGCCTGGGTCTCGAAACATTGTTTTGGTGAAGTCAACTGCTGGGTTGATACACACCCAGATGAATGAAGCTTCTTTTTCTTTTTTATGCCTTTCAGGTACGAGTAGGTGAAGACCGTTATATTCACATGAAAATATTCAAACCTCTTCCTGGACAAAATCAGGATTTGGTGCTTTCTGGCTACCAGATTGACAAAAGCAAGAATGATGAACTGATAGGCTTCCAGTAGCGTGTTCCCAAAGCGGTTTGATTCCTTGCACCAGCTATTGATTAATGATCCTTACTAACACATATAATCATCAATAAAGATACATTCTTTTCAAATAAATTATTTGCTCAATTATTACTCATTTATTATCATCTACAGAAATAACTATTTTCCCCCAAACTACTTTATTTCTTTTTTAAAAAGATTTATTTATTTAGTATTTGAAAAGCAGAGTTACAAAGAGGCAGAGGCAGCGGTGGGGGGGGGGGGGGGGTTCTTTCATACGCTGGTTCATTCCCCAAATGGCCACAACGGCCAGAGCTGAGCTAATCCAAAGTCAGGAGCCAGGAGCTTCTTCCAGGTCTCTCACTTGAGTGCAGGGGCCCAAGGACTTGGGCCATCTTCTGCTGCTTTCCCAGGCCACAGCAGAAAGCTTGATTGGAAGTAGAACAGCAAGGACTTGAAGCAGCGCCCATATGGGATATCAGCACTGCAGGTGGCTGCTTCGCCCACTAGGCAGCAGCGCGGGCCCCAGTGGGATACTCTTAAACTGGGACATAGCACCTTTATGCAGCACATCTGAGTACAGCTCGCTGTGGAGGCAAGCTGCTTGGGGTCAAGCTCTTGGTCAAGTGTGGATGGAGGGTAGCTTAGGTCAAATTTTATTTTAGTTCAGCAAATATAATCTTAAGTTTGTGAAAAAGTTGCAACAAACTTTTTCATGAAGCTTTCAGACTACCTTTCATTACCTACAATGATGCCCCATCACCAGCAAATACTAGGACACATATCAGCGAGCATTTCCTACAAAAGATGAGATTCTCCTGTGTAACTGAAACATGATATCAAGATCAGGAAGTTAATCTGACACCCAGTCCTCAGACACCATTCTCATTTCCCCAGTTGTCCCAATAATGTCCTTTGTTACAAAAAAGATCCAAGCCAAAACCATGTACTCTATTTATTTATTTCCCAAAATTTGCATTCATCCACTCACTCATTCACTTATATACTTCAAAGACAGAGAGCCCCCAACTATGGATTTACTCCCTAAATTCCTTCAGTGGCCTGAAGCTGGGGACTGGGAACCCAATCCAGGTTCCCCACACACATGGTAGGAACCCAACTACTGGAGTCACCATTGCTGCTGCCCAGCCTCTGTGTTAGCAGAAAGCTGAACTCAGGAGTCAGAGCAGGGAATTAAACTCAGATATCCCAAAGTGAGACATGGGCATCCTAACCAGTGACTTCACCACCAGGCCTAATTCCTGCATTTTTCACTCATTTTCATTCATTCATTTATTTAATAGATAAAGACAGACGATCTGCCATCTACTGGTTCCCTCCTCAAGTGGCCACAAAGGCCAAGGCTATGCCAGGCCAAAGCCAGTAGCCTGGAGCTCCATCCAGGTCTTCCATACGGGTGGCAGGGGCTCAAGTACTTGGGCCATCTTCCACTGCTTTCCCAGGCACATTAGCAGGAAGCTGGCTGGGAAGCAGAGCAGCCGGGACTCAAACTGGCACTCTGATATGGGATGCCAGAGTTGCAAGAGGCAACTTAATCCATTGCACCACAAGACCAGCCCCTTCAGAAAAGCCACTGTGCCAAATGTCTGCCTCTTCTCTTTTTTAATGTATTCACTGGGATAATTTATGTGCCATATGATTCACCTATTTAAAGTGTGTGACTCAGTGGTTTCCATGGCATTCACAGATGTGTGTGTGCATCACCACGTACCCCTCAGCTGTTACGTCTACACCCTCCCCACCTCCTATGTCCCAATCAACCACTAATTTACTTTATGCCTATACTTGCCTGCTCCAGACACTTCACATGTGAGGAACAGCATAAGATGCGGTCTGTTGTAACTGGCTTCTTTGATGGCGTAATCTTTTCAAGGTTCATCCACGTTGTGGTATCCATCAGCATCTTATTTCTTTTTCTTTTTTTTTTTTTTTTTTGAGGAAGTTGAAAATTTATTTATGTTTCTTATTTTGCTGTAGAGCTGCTCCTTCACTGCATACAACAGCACCAGCAAATGCAGTATATTGCAAAAATTAAGATAGTATTGTTCTTTCTCTGGCACTGCAACTAACAAAAACTGTTGTGTATTCCCAGTTACTTCCAATGGAAAGATCATTACATATTTTGGCCCCAAACCAGGGATGAGTATAAGCAAGTTACAATATTACATAAGGCTTAAGATAACAATGTTATCCTTGAATTACATTATTTGTAAAACTAATTTTTACCACAGATAACTTCATGTATTCTGAATACCAGTGCCTAGGGCCTACTATAAAAATCACAAGGTACTGTGAAAAAGATGCATATTGAGTTTTTCTGCAATCATTACAAAGTTAGGGTATATTTTCTTCCAGTAGCAGAGTTGAAAGTGGTATTTCTTCCATCAAGATTGCTAAAAGTTGCTATTTTAAGTCCTGTCCGCCACTAATTTAAGAGAAAACTGTGCTGGATTAAGTTATTCCATACTAGTTCATGTAAGGGTTCCACTTTCATTCCTCAATAGATTTTATGTATTTCTCATAGGCTTCTTCACTCATTAGTTCATCTAGTTCTGAAGGGTTACTCAGTGTCATCTTGATCAGCCAACCATCTTCGTAACAAGATTTGTTGACAAGTCCTGGGTTTTCTGCAAGGGCTTCATTAATTTCAGTTACTTCTCCTGATAGAGGAGAATAGAGTTCACTAGCAGCTTTCACACTTTCCAAGGCACCAAATTCATCTTGTTTTTTCAATTTTGTCCCAACTTCAGGCAGACTACAATAAACAACATCTCCCAAAGCTTCCTGTGCAAAATTGCTGATTCCCACTGTTCCAATACCATTTTCTGTTGTTATCCATTCATGTTTCTCTGTGAACTTACGGACCGAGAGCAGAGCGGGTCCAGTGCGCAGCGTCCGGACGGCGCCCGCCCGCAGCCGCCAGGGCAGAGGCGAGCAGGGTGCGGCGGGCGCCGAGGCCGCGAGCAGGCTGCAGGCCGCGGCCCGCAAGCTACGCGCCACTCGCAGCGCCATGTTCGCAGGGGTGCCGAGGGTCGCAGCGCTGCCTTATTTCTTTTTCAATATTTAATGAAATAGTTTGTATTTGAATCTATAAATATATTAGTAGTTAATAAGTTTCCATGATGTTTCTTTAATTACATATTGATAGATTATAGCTGTATGAGCATACAACGATAGGTTACAAAGTAATGTTATAATTTTTCAAAATTTTCTTTTTAAAAAAGTTTATTTATTTATTTGAAAGTCAGAGTTACACAGAGAGGAGAGGCAGAGAGCGAGAGAGCGAGAGAGAGAGAGGTCTCCATCCAATGGTTCACTCCCCAATTGGCCGCAATGGCCAGAGCTACGCCATCCAAAGCCAGGAGCCAGGAGCTTCCTCTAGGTCTCCCACGCGGGTTCAGGGGCCCAAGGACTTGGACCATCTTGTACTGCTTTCTCAGGCCACAGCAGAGAGCTGGATCGGAAGTGGAGCAGCTGGGCTTTGAGCTGTCGCTCATATGAGATGCCAGTGCCTCAGGCCAGGGCGTTAACCCACTGCACCACAGCACTGGCCCCAAAATTTTCTTTTCTTTTCTTTTTTTTTTTTTAAGATTTATTTATTTATTTATTTGAAAGAGTTACATAGAGAGAGGAGAGTCAGAGAAAGAGAGAGAGAGAGAGGTCCTTCATCCAATGGTTCACTCCCCAATTGGTCGCAACAGCCGGAGCTTCGCTGATCTGAAGCCAGGAGTCAGGAGCTTCTTCCAGGTCTCCCACATGGGTGCAGGGGCCCAAGCACTTGGGCCATCTTCCATTGCTTTCCCAGGCCACAGCAGAGAGCTGGATTGGAAGTGGAACAGCTGGGCCTCGAACCGGCGCTCATATGGGATGCTGGTGCTTCAGGCCAGGGCCTTAACCCACTGTGCCACAGCGGGGGCCCCCAAAATTTTCTTTGAGGCACAGAGAGAGAAACCTAGCATCCTCTGGTTCACTCCCAGATGGCCACAACAGCCAGGGCTGGACCAAGCTGAGCTGAAGCCAGGAGCCAGGAACTGCATCCAGGTCTCCGAGTGTGTGGCAAGGACCCAAATATTCGAGCCAATATCTGATGCATTCCAGATCCAATGTGATCAGGAAGCTGCAATCAGGAATAGAGTTGGGACTCCCACCAGGGCCCCAACGTGGCGTGTGGGAGTCCTAGGCAGTTTCCCAAGCATTGTGCCAAACACTTTGGCTAATGTTAGGATGTTTTTTAAAAGCAAAACGATATGATTAAATCAAACTTATTGACCCACCTGCCACCTCAACTATTTGACTTTTTTGTGTTGAACACATCTGAGATTTACATTCTTAGCAATATTGAAATGTACACTACTCCGTTTATTAGCTATATTTACCACACTGTGTAACAGATCTTTTTACTATTATTTTTTAAAGATTTATTTTTTATTTGAAAGGTAGAGTAACAGAGAGAGAGAAGGAGAGACAAAGATCTTCCATCCACTGGTTCACTCCCCAAATAGCCACAACAGCCAGGGCTGGGCCAGGCTGAAGCTAGGAGCCAGGAGCTTCTTCTGGGTCTCCCAAGTGGGTGCAGGGGCCCAAGTACCTGGGCCATTTTCCACTGCTTTTCCAGGCACATTAGCAGGGAGCTGGATCAGGAGTGGAGCATGGGCCAGCGCTGTGGCTTAACTGGTAAAGTCACCACCTGCAATGCTGGCATCCCATATGGGTGCTGGTTTGAGTCTGATCCAGCTCTCTGCTATGGCCTGGGAAAGCAGTGGAAGATGGCCCAAGTCCTTGGAGCCCTGCACCTGCCTCTGCCTCTCTGTAACTTTGCCTTTCAAATAAATAAATAAATCTTACAGAATCCATAAATCAAAAAAAAAAAAAGTCAAGCAGCTGCCACTGCTGCAGTTACAGCTTTAACCACAGTGCTGGCCCCTAACAGATTTTTTTTTAAAAGCTACCAAAAATCAAATTTCTTCCTTCTATCTAATGCTTTGTACCTTTTTTTCTAAAGATTTATTTACTTTTAAAATCAGAGTTACACAGAAAGAGAAGGAGAGGCAGAGAGAGAGAGGTCCTCCATCTGCTGGTTCACTCCCCAGTTG